GAGGTGTGTGTCTTGCCGGGCTCGCAGTGATGGACCTGTAGTATGATGATGAGGCATGAAGAGAAACGCGACCGAGAGGCTAGCGTACTTGTACAAGGGTCCAAATGAGTTCAGCATAAGGAGGTAATCATTACACAAGCTATGCGTCGGGGCGTCAACGGGAGATGCGTCCGTCGCAACATAGAGTCGTGAGTTGATGTCGAAGAGGAATGCCTTTGATGATTGGGAATTCTGTCAGACGCGATGATGTCAGCAAACCTTACACCCGGTTTCGTGGACAGGTTCACTCACGGTACAGAAAACATTGAGCAGATCTTCTAGATAGGGTAGGGATTCGATAGACTTGTGTAACGTGCGCGAGAATGCGTCGTGAAGGGTATGGTCGTGGATGGACGTGAGGTGAAAGTTGATGGGTATCATTTGCTCATACTCTGGCGAGATGTCACCGAGCTCGTCCAGGATTCGCTGTTGAATATATCGCCAGTTCTCTGTGACATGATCGATATCGCTTAGAGCAGAATAAGATTGGGGCGGAGCAGCAACACGCACCCATTCTGTACTCCTCTGACAGAGTATCCGCCTTGTGCACAAAAACCTCTATGTTGGTACGCGGGCCCTCGTTATATGCGGCAACAACCATGTTTACGAGTTTGGTGATGGAAGGTTGGTAGAGATCCTGCACCTACGTTAGTTGCTGGACAATACTGATCAGGATGTCTCGCACCTGGATATCAATTACGAAGATTATGGTGGCAAACTGGGACAGCGGGACCTCCAACTGGTCGGTATTCATGTCTCCAGGACAATCCCATATCTCGAGGGGGATAATTGTGCTAGCACGGTAAACGTCAATGTAGCGGCGCGTGCAATTGGGTAGAAGTGGACGCACTCGTACGGATACTTGGTGGTTCGGGACGTGCGCTCGAGGTAGAACGTTTGCTTCGCAGGGAGATTATTGAAGAGGACTTCCTGGATGGACGTCTTGCCGCTCCTGCAGCACATTGAGCCTCGCACATTCCAGGGCGGGACAAGGAACATACCTGCGCATGCCGAGGAGGAGGAACTTGGTGCGCATCAGATCGTGCGTGGCGTGGTGACCATTTGTCTGCGAAGTCGTCGGACGATACCCTGGAGGCATGGCAGGATGGTGGTGGACAGAGAGTCTGAGGACTGGGGAACCGGGACTCGCAGAGTAGCGCCGCGATGATCGCGTGGCTGCGGGCGCCTAGGTGACGTCTGAGCGGCAGGCGGCTCGAGAAGCATACACTCGCACGTTCGTATCCTTATTGGCTCTTATGGCACGTCTCTAACTATATTCCTTCCTGTCATGCAGACCTGCACACGACCGCCCTCCCTCCCATCCTGCCATGAAGTTCGGTCGCAAAATCAGCGCAAGTCGCCTCCTCTTTCTCCATCTTCACCACTCTATTCACCAGACTGCCTACACAGAACGACCTTTATAACGAGTGGAGACCGTTTTACATCAACTATAACCTACTCAAGAGAGAGCTGAAGGTGAGGCGCCCCCATAACACTACGCATGGACGCCCATCCACTCACCATTTGATCATAGGATCGCACGACCGCTCATGCATGGTCCGATGACGATGAGCGCGAGTTCACTAGCATGCTAGAGAAGGAGTTGGACAAGATCCATGACTTTCAGAAGACCAAGGTACGGCGCCAGCTCATATTCCATCTGCTGCCTCATCAGTGTCTTGACCACGAATAGACCTCCGAGCTCGCAAGGCGGATAAAGGACGCTGAAAGAGCAGTTACGCGGTTGGTTGCCAACGAACATACCGACGGACAACGTCCAGTCGCTGGCTCCTCATCCGACCTTGAAGGTCACCAGCGTGAACCTAGCGCAGTCCAGGACGCTGGTTCCGACGATGACGATTCGGACGACGAGGGTAGTGCCGACATGTCCGTGGACGCTCTGGAGGACCAGTTTCTGTCGCTCGAGGAGGAGGTTGCCACGCTAGTCGCTGATGTTCATGATCTTGCGCTATATACCAAGCTTAATATCACTGGCTTCATGAAGATTCTCAAGGTGAGTCGGAGCCGGGGAATAGCTGCGCTGATGTACTCATCCTTATGGACTTGATCTTAATCTTCAGAAACACGATGTAAGTGCAGGAAGTCACCGGTGTTCCTCTGGCCCCAGCCCTGACGCCTCATGATCATGCATAGAAACAAACAAGTCGCCCTTTGAAACCCACATTCATTCATGGATATCTGGAGAAGCGTCCGTTTTACAAGTACAATTGGGATGGCCTCATAGTGAAGCTCTCCAAGCTGTATGACCTCGTCCGCACCCGTGGCCATCCGGTGCAAGGCGATTCCAGTGCAGGTGGTAATCAGAGTGCATTCGTGCGCCAGACCACCAAGTATTGGGTGAGAATATGCGTCCAATGGATTATGGAGGATAGCGTTCAATAGGTTCCTTGATTGTAGGTGCACCCTGACAACCTTGTTCACCTGAAACTTGCAATCTTGCGGCATCTGCCCGTGCTAGGTACGGTTGAACACTATTCCGGTTGTTTCTATGTGATCGTGACTGATTACGTTACCAGTCTTCAACCCCAGCAAGGAGTTCGAACAGAAGGATGCAGGCAAGTGGCTGTCGCGCAAGAAGTTAGGGCTCCTCTGATCAATTCTCTGCAGCAATCTCGTCTGTATACTTCGACAACGAGGATCTAGACCTTTATCTTGGTCGCCTCGAGAAGACAGAGGGTGCGGAAGCCGTTCGACTGCGGTGGTATGGTGACATGGGTGTCAAGACGGTGAGTAGCGTTTAGTCTAGTTCAAATACGACGCACCCCTAACCCCTTGATCTCCTAAGATCTTCGTCGAACGGAAGACACATCGAGAGGACTGGACGGGAGAGAAGTCAGTGAAGGCGCGGTTCCCTATCAAGGAGCACCTGGTGAACGCTTACCTGCGCGGGGAATACACAATGGACGAGGAGTTTCAAGAGTTGGTCAAGAAGGGCAAGAAGACACAGCAGGAGGTGGACTCGATGATTCAGCTTGCAAATGAGGTGCAATATTCCACCATAACGAAGAAGCTCCGGCCTGGTGAGTACCCACATTGCATCTACGCGCACGCTGGCCAACTACATACTCCGTCGCCAGTGATGCGCACGTTCTACAACCGGACGGCGTTCCAGCTCCCTGGAGACGCACGCGTCCGAATCTCTCTCGATACGGAGTTGACGATGATCCGTGAGGATAACTGGGACGGGCGGATACGATCGGGCGACAACTGGCGTCGGATGGACATCGGTATCGACTACCCCTTCGACCAGCTGCCGCCCGAAGACAAGGAGCCCTTCAAGTACGGCGTGCTCGAGGTCAAGCTCCAGACGCAGTATGGTCAGGAGCCGCCAAAGTGGGTCACAGACCTCGTAATGTCGCATCTCGTTGAGGCGGTCCCCAAGGTAAGTGCTTGTATAGGCCTTGTGAGAGAAGCCAGGCAATGACGTCCAGGGAAACAGTTCAGCAAGTTCATTCACGGTTGTGCGACTCTCCTACCGAACCGCGTAGATCTTGTTCCTTTCTGGATGCCTCAGAGTGCGTTGAGCAGTATACACTAATGGGCTGTTAGCTGACGCTCCGCAATAGTGGACACGGATATCCTCAAGCCAGATACTGGTGCGCTCACAATCGAGCGGCCGATGCAGGCTTCTTCGTCCAAGGGAACGTCCGAATTCTCCGCGAGTGGTGTCAAGTCTTCAGGAGGCACCACTCCGGACGACTCGAACCCCGCGTATGTTGAGCCGGTATCCGAGGGAGAGGAAGATGAGGCTATGGATCTTGCTCCAGGTATGTCGTGCAATCAGTTGGTTTGACTCTACCATACCGACCTTATAATAGCTCGGGACGAGCATAAGCGTATTGGGCTCAACAGTCACGACGTCGCTGCAGCGATCGCATTCCGTGAGAAGTCGCTCAAGCAACAAGGCGAGTCCGCGAAGCACCAGAGCCAGCCTCCTGTCGCTGCGCAGGACCATGTTGTCCAGGACAACGGTATCGATGACCACGACCACGACGGGGACGACGGGGACGACGAAGGAGATGTGAACGAGCGCACGCCGTTCCTACGCGGGCGCAGCAGCGCATCGAAGCCGGCGCCGCTCGTTGGGTCAACGCAAGGCCGTGCGTTGTCAATCGACCCGCTGGCGCCGTCGTCTGCGTTCGACGAGACGCTGCGAGACCGCTTGCGCGAAGAGCAGCGTCAGAAGAAGTCGGAGGACGCCGTAGATGATAATGACGACGAGGACGAAGACGAGGACGAGGGGGCGAATGGCACGTCAAGGAGAGAAGGCAGCCCAGGTGACGACCGCGTGCTGGAGAGACGGTGGACTGCCCCGCCCGGTAAACGGATTGCGGTGCCGGTGCGGGTGGAGCCCAAGGTGTACTTTGCCGCTGAGCGAACGTTCTTGGTGAGTGTGTAGTGTGCGCCGTGTGCGATTGCTCATGTTCTGCGCACAGAAATGGCTGCACTTCGCCATCTATATCGGGACAATCGCGACGACGCTGCTCAACTTTATACCGCCGGGCGACAAGGTTGGCCTCGTCAGCGCGGGGCTCTTCACGCTCGCGGCGCTGGTGGCCATCGCCTACTCAGCGGTGATCTTTGTGTACCGCGCGCTGAAGCTGCGCAGACGTGACGCGGAGGGGCTCTACTACGACAAGTACGGTCCGACGATCCTGTCCGTTTTCTTGCTCGGTGCGCTGGGTGCGAACATTGTGTTGAGGTTGAGAGAGATGGCGGAGTAGACAGACGAGTTGTGTGCTCGCTTGCTAAGTAGTCTCTTCATTTTGGATAACATCGTCACGCGAAGGGAAGGGCGATAGACATGCTCAGACACAACGTGCGCTCATTGATCATACCCGTTCTGTACTGGTGTTGCGCATTGCGTTGCTCCCAACAAAACAACAATTGTGTGAGGGCTGTTGCGGTGGGATCGATCGAATCAAAAGAATGCCATTCAAAGGCCTTATCAGGGATCGAACCTGAGTTGACGGAAGATTATCGAATCAGAATCCGCCGTGATAACCACTACACTATAAGGCCACCATAAATATGTCGATGAACAAGAAAGACGACACGATGTAGTATGATATGTAACCGGGCGTCTAGGCGCTGTAGTATGAGCGCCTAGTGAGGAGGTCTTGTTCCCGGAGACGGCTTTGTTCTCTGGGACAATAAGTTGCCCTCTACTCTCCGCTGCCGCCTCAAACTCTCCCTCAGGTATGGGAGCCGCGCTTTGCTGCTGCTCTGACCCCGTTGATCTCGACGGTGAGGTCGACCTCTACCATTTCGACCTGCTGCGCGCCGTTGGCAAAGGCGCTTTTGGCAAGGTACTTCTATGCTCGCATGGCCCGCTGGCACCTGGATTTGACTGCTTGTGGGAGCCAGGTCCGCGTCGTTGAACACAAGAGGACAAAGAAGATCTACGCCCTCAAGTACATCGAGAAGGCAAGGTGCATCAAGCAAAAGGCTGTTGCAAACATCATACAGGAGCGGAGGCTGTTGGAGGAGGTGCGCGCCCTTGCCATTGCTCCTTGACTGTTGATTGACCGGTGGCATAGATCGACCACCCATTTGTAGTCAATCTGCGCTACGCCTTCCAGGACGACGAGAACTGCTTCTTCGTGCTAGACCTCATGTTAGGAGGCGACTTGCGATGTACGCGCCTCCATGTTCCCTACCACACCCTCTAACCTTCGGCCCCAGTCCATTTAGATCGATTAGGCCGTATACCAGAGAACGTCGTACGCTTCTGGACAGCAGAGCTGTCATCGGCACTTTCGTACCTCCACCGACAACGCATTGTCCACAGGTACACTTGTGTTCGCTCACTCCCGCACAGTGTCTGAGCCTCTCCGCCCGCAGAGATATTAAGCCCGACAACGTGCTACTCGACTCCATGGGACATGTCCATATCACCGACTTTAACGTCGCCATACACTTCTCAGAACGACGCCTGCACACAAGCGTCGCGGGCAGCATGGCCTACATGGCACCCGAGGTCATCGGGCACAAGGGCTACACCTGGTCTGTCGATTGGTGGAGCCTCGGCATCGTTGTCTGGGAATTGCTTTTTCACAAGCGTCCATTTGACGGGCGTACTGCAGAGAAGATGAGACACTCCATCACGAAGGACCCGCTCCGGTTCCCCAGCAAGGCCAATGAGTTATGCAGTGCGGCAGGACAAGATGCCTTGCGTGGGGTCAGTACCATGCCACTCCCTGGTATCCGTTCAGTGCGTGTCGATACTGACCGGTCTTCCCGATAGTTTTTGGACAGAAATCCTAAGACGCGCCTAGGGTGCAAGGGCAAGGGCCAAGACATTCCTGACGTTCGGGATCATCCATGGTTTGCTTCCTTCGACTGGGACGTGCTTGAGCAAAAGGACGCACAGCCCCCATTTGTACCTGATGTAGGTTGTTGTAGTGTTTATCAGTCGCCGGTTATACTGACAGGCTCCATCACAGATCAGCAAGGCCAATTTTGACGTGTCGCATGAGCTGGATGAGTTTCTGATGGTCGAGAAGCCACTCACCCATACAAAACGCAAGGCACATCCCGACCTAGAGAAGATGAAGCCCGAGTTGCGGCAACTCGAAGAGCAGTGCGTCATGCCGCCACTTCCCATGACATATTCCTTGACCGATATCCTTTGCACGCAGATTCACAGTATACGACTTTACCAAAAGTCGGCGCATGTCGTACTACCCCCACAATCTACCAATCACCAGTGCAGGACACGAGAGTGGCAAGGAGCCCGTCGAGGTCGTCCAGTCGGCAACCAACACTGTGCAGCCGACTGCTACTATCGTCGAGCGGTCCCGACCAGGCACCCCCTTTGACGAACCGGACACGCCGGGACGCCAGACGCCATGTCCCATGCCGACAGTCACACAACACTCGGAACGCCAGCCTTCGCAATAGTCTTCGCGCTGCGTCACAGCATTCCCGATCGTTCTTGCAGCTGGTCCTGCTGCTATGCGCCAGGAGCGTTCACCTACACACTTCTGCATCCACGCCCAGTTCGGACATGTTTATTGCCGTTATTCGCTGTTGTATCATAGTCAATCCCTCACTTGCTTGGCATCCAGGCGGCACCCTTAGGCATTCCCCTCCTTGTCGTTGTTACCCGGCCGTTGTTGGCCCCGCATTGCACCCATCATTCCATTACCAGCACTTGGATACTTTGTACTCCGCGGCACGCCTACATTATACATTGTATCACCACCATGCTCATTATATCTTGCAACCGGTTTTTGTCTGTGCTTATTCTCAGCCTTGTGCATACTTTGCTTCGTTGCTTCGCTGCGTTTTTCGTGGCTTTTTTGGTCGGATCTGCCCTGGGGTGCTTTGTTACACTGTATTCTATCAGCCTAGGCGTATTCCATACTTGTCATAATTGCTCAATAGAAACAGAAACAAGAGATACCTATTTGATACGGTGTTGTGCATCACAGTGTCTCGTGTCTAGGAGAATTATGGTACGTGTTCTCATTGCGCATGCCTCGTGTGAGCATGAGCAGCAGGTTCTCTATCCGGGCTTGACGATCCTGCGATAATGGAACCCATGAGTTACAAGCAGCCCCTACGGAAGCTTTGTCGACGCACCTGTAGCTCCTTCATCTCGTCCTTGAGCTTGTTCACGGGTAGACTTCGCACATCTTCGATCATAGCCTCCAGCTTGCGGACACCCGCATCCATTCCGGCGGCAGCAGAGCTCACACGTTCCATCTGCGCCGCCGAGCCGTTGCCCCGAGTGTTATACAGCCTGCTCAGCGGGCTGCGCTGTCCTGCAGTTTGCAGTTCTCCTGAGCTCGACCCCACCAACGCCGGGAGGGTGATCTTCCGCGGGCGGGGCGACACACTGGGCGACGCGCCCTCGCGGTGGCTGCGACTGCGGCCTAGCGGGGTGGAGCGTGGCAGGCTCGTGCGTCGCCTATGTCGGGGAGTCTCTGGGTCCGCAGGGTTGGAGAGACGGGAAGCAGATGCGTATGGACGGGTGGGCGAGCTTGGTAGGGCCGGCAGGCTGTCGCGGGACGGAAAGGACAAAAGAGTGTCACCGCTTTCAGGAGCTATGATACGTGTGCGCTGCTCATCGTCGGAGTCAGCGAAAAGGTCTGTCTCCTCTGACACCTGTACGTCGAAGATGGCGTCATAAATATCGGCAGAGCCCATCCCAAGCAGATCGAATAGAGGGAGCTTCTTCATGTTCCGTGTCAGGCGTGAGTATAAACCCTGCTCAGTATTGTTCGACCATATCTGGCTTTGGGCGAGATACCTCTCATAGATGCCGATTATGACCAAGAAGGGGAATGACTACTTGATGTTAGTTTGACGATATGCCCATAGAATCAGAGGCGCACTGTCAGCTTGATGAGAAACACGTTGGCGGAGTGCAGCGTCCGGGGGGATACAACGAAGCTTAGCGGCCACAGGACGGCTAATGCGAGGAGATTGAAAGGTGGCTGGTAGCTGAAAAGCGCGTCTGACTTCACCCTAGCATTGTAAACTGAGCCGTAGAAGCTCTAAGTAGGAATGCTCACTCACCCCTCAATCGTCGAAATTGAAAACTGAAAGAGATACTGATGGGGACATCAATCGTTGCACGGTCAAGTTGCAATCACCCCCTCACCTCCTGTTTAGCATTCTGGCGCAAATGTCATTATCGCCTTTGGAACACCAAAAGCTATGAGCACTCACCGCATCGATCTGTGCAAACGTGTTTGAAAGGATGGAAATCAAAACTAAGCGAACCATGTCAGTACGTATGCACATTTCGTGCTTGCATACGCACTGGTGAGTAGTAGCGTGTTTGACAGAGCAGCGAACATGGTCATGAGGATTGGCCCAAATACAGGGTGGAAGCTTTCTGCTTGCGCGAAGCTGAGGTAAGTGTTGCCAAACCAAATCTGCACCATCAACCAGGTGATAGCCTTGAGACTCCACTTGTCGTTAGCTAGGAGTGAAGACATGAGTCTCACATCCACAGATGGCGTTGCATTTGCGCACCTAGGTTGTGCAGCGTGAAGAGCAGCCCGGAGAAACATATGGCCGCAATGCAGATGAAGAAGACAAAGTCTGCGATCATAGCGCGAAGCGCCCTGGTTATATGCGTGAGTGCACAGTTGATACCGACCGATGGAATCTGCCGTACAGTACCACCACATTGTTTGAGACGGCAAAGAATGCCAGACTATGTTAAAATTTTCAATTACGACTGAAGTGGAGAGCTAGAGGGAGGCCTTACCGAGGAAATAGAATGCATGCGCCACAAGCTAGGATGTCGAAACCCATCTCGGACGCGCCCGCTGTGCACACTGATTAGTCTGCATGAAAGGCGGACTGCATAACACCCACCGTCGTCATACACGAGGCCCTTGATTCGTAACCCGAGGTATACAAGGAATACCACAACGAAAGATGTGTCGAAGACATTCCACATCTCAACAGCGATGTCAAAACCCCGCGGCCAGCCGGTAGAGAAAACTCACATTGGCCATGTAGACTGATGCAGAATATGTGATAAGTCCAGGCGTACACATTTAGGTACACGACAGTTACTCACTACCCCATCCGTGCTCCTTTGACGAGGTGTACTCGGCAAGTGTAAACGCGGCCGCGAATGCTATAAACACAACCTCGAAAGCATTCGCCCTACCGGTTTCACGATCTAAGAGGTAGTGTCAGTATATGCGCATACCTTTGCAAGCAGAGACAGCCAGCATCGTACGAGAGAGACAGAGAAGGAATGTTGTCAATAGCAGGGCGAAATTCAAGAACTCCAGTATTGCGCCGTACTTCGGGACACGCAGTCGGTAGTGATCAAGGAACGGTGCTTTCCGGTAGTCGTACATCTCGATGGCCCGTGGTTTGTAGTTGTCGGCCAGAACTGAGTGGGTCGACGCCATGTAGAAAACAACCCTGCCCGCATAGATATCCTTGACGACTGTCTGAACTACAGGCGAAGATAGGAATCCCTTAGCCTCGGTGGCGATGGCCAGCTAGTTGTGCGGTGAAGTCAATAACTCATCATCAAAATAATC